CCCCCCCCCCCCCCCCCCCCCCCCCCCCCCATGGGTTTACTACGTCCACTCCCTGTTCCACAACGTCCGTGGTCTCACATCGCAGTGGATTTTGTAACTGGTCTCTCCCCGTCAAACAGTAACACCGTCATTCTGACTGTGGTAGACCGGTTCTCAAAGGCGGCTCACTTCATTCCCCTGCCCAAGCTTCCATCGGCCCGTGAGACCGCTGACCTATGAGTCCAACACGTCATTAGGCTTCATGGCATTCCTGCGGACATAGTCTCAGACTGTGGCCCGCAGTTCTCATCCCAGTTATGGAAGGCATTCTGTCACACCCTCGGCGCCACAGCCAGTCTCTCCTCGGGATTCCATCCGCAAACTAACGGCCAGAGGGAGAGGCTGAACCAGGAGCTCGAGGCCATCCTCAGGTGTGTGACCGCCACTAATCCCTCCTCTTGGAGCCATCACCTCCCGTGGGTTGAGTACGCCCACAATTCCCACACGTCTACTGCCACCAGACTGTTTCCGTTTGAGGCCTCCTTGGGCTATCAGCCTCCCCTGTTCCCTAGCCAGGAGGTCGAGGTCGCAGTTCCGTCGGTCCAAGACAATGCCCGTCGTTGTAGACGGGTGTGGAGAGAGACTCGGGTGGCTCTGCTCCGCACGGCAGAGCAAAATAAGAGGGTGGCGGATCGCCGTCGTGTTCCAGCTCCGGCCTACCGTATCGGACAATTGGTTTGGCTTTCGACCAGGGACATCCCCCAGCGCACAGTCTAGGAAGTTCTCTCCCAGATATGTCGGGCCCCTTTCCCTTCATCTCCATCATCAATCCAGTAGCGGTCAAACTGCAGTTGCCTCGCTCCATGAGGAGTTACCTGTTTGTTTTCTGTTCCTTCAGTTTTGAGTGCGGTCGAGTTTCCCTCCCGACTCCGGAGGCTACCTGTCCCGGCCTCGGTTGAGCTTCCCTCCCGACTCCAGTGGAGATTATAGGAGTGACTTTAATTTGCTGGACAGTTAGTCTTTGTTTTTTGTTTGTTCTTTCTGTGACTCCTCCTGCACAGTTAAATAAAGTCTTGGCTGGAGTAAACCTGCTTTGTGCGTGCGTTTGGGTGCACTAACTACACTACCACATAACACCTTGGGGTTCAATTGTTTCATCAATGACAGTTTCCAATGTTGACAACCTCTGAAGCTATTGCATGTTTATAATTTACTTATTTTGATCATTGCAAGAGATGTGAAACAGAGCACAGTTTATATTTACACAGTCCACTGCAAATATGGAGACTATAGAAAATAAATCGAATTCAATTTATCATTACTATGGCGAGTGACAATTGTGTCATGGAATTAATGGATTTCACATCACCCCACTCTACTTTAAATTCTGATTTGAAACACAATGACATTTTCCTGAAATTGGTAATC